CTATCTATCTATCTATCTATCTATCTATCTATCTATCTATCTATCTATCTATCTATCTATCTATCTATCTATCTATCATCTATCTATCTGAAAATGGCTCACATAATATTTTCTCTTCTTTCTGCTGAAACAACTCACCTGATAACAATGTCATAGTCATCAATTTTCAAGCCCAGAGATTTGTTTGCTAGAATGCCACCATTTCCCACAATAATACATCGTCTGCAGCTAAGACTGGAAAGGAAACAAAAGAGTAGCTGGTTAAACATCAAAATGTATAGGAACAGATATATTTTTGGTCCAGATCTGAGCCAGTCTAAAAGAATCAGAAAGTAGTTAATTCACAGTTAAGAGAATGACCTTTGATAGTAATACAATGAAGGAACTGGTATTGGAAGATGTTAGGCATAAGGTTATGCCTATCATGTAGAAATTGGTTGGCCCTATTTTTATGTTTTAGTGTAACTCAGAACTTGCAGATGAACAGTTTATGACCTTTTCCACAATTAGCCCTTGGCCAATGGCCAGGTCTTGATTTATAACTGAGCCTTTCCATCTCCTTGTGGCAATACAAGTAGTCCTTGACTTACAACTATTCATTTAGTGACCGTTCAATGTTACAATGGGGCTGAAAAAATTATCAAACTTCGGACACTTGGAAACTGATTTGTATTTATGACAGTTGCAGTATCCCAGGGTCATATGATTACCTTTTGCGACCTTGGTGGCAAGCAAAGTCAATAAGGAAGCCAGATTTGCTTAACAACCGTGTTACTAACTTAACAACTGCAGTGATTCACTTAACAACTCTGGCAAGCAGGATCGTAAAATGGGGCAAAACTACTTAACAAACGTCTCTCTTAGCAACATAAATTTTGGGCTCAATTGTGACTGTAAATTGAGGACTACCTGTAATAGGATCAGTTTGGTTTCTGTGTACTCCATGGATGTCTTTTTGCAACATTTTGCAAAATTTACAGGACTGTCGAAGTTACTTTCAAATGATTGTAGCTTGTCAAGGATACCAATAAAGGAGAATATTTGTAGGTCAGGGTTGAAATGAGGAGTCCTTGGTGTTTTCTGAACTTGATTGATTTCTTATGGACATTTTATCACTCAAATTACCGGAAGGGAACACCATCAGTGCTAATGATTATATTACCTACAGTAGTTTGGATAATGAAACGTCTGGAAAAAAACAACCAAGCTCAGTGAGCACCAAGGATCCCTCATTTCAAAGATACATATATCAAAGATCAAATGTAAAAGATGCTGTAAATCACTGTAAATAATAATCTACATTTGATTTTTAGCAATGGATTGCTGTACATTTGAATTTTTCTTTTTTTACAGGTTTGGACAAATGTTCTGATTTCCCCTCCCTCAATTTGTATATCAATAATAGACTCTCTCAACACAGAGACACCTATTTTATCAAAACATAAATAAAGTAAGAAAGGAGGAATTGAAATACTGTAGGAGGATCTAAATTAGACAGTTCATATACCATATATATACTTTTAGCACAGTGGTGGGTTCTGGATCCCATTGCAACCGTACGGGTTGCAACGAGGCCTGGCGTCCTCCACATGAACACGTGCAGTATATGCACACACATGGTCAGTGCGCGCATGTGTCTTGCCTTCCAGCGATGCTCCAGCTGCTCGGCGGAGCATCGTGCAGGCGCTGTACGCACCATGCACATGTGTGGAAGTGCCGAAGGCTTTAAAGGACAGGTAAGGAGTGCGGGTGGGTGGGCCTTCTGGAGTACCGTACCGGAATGGTACCCGGTGCTCCGGACAGGCTCCAGTACGCCCGTACCAGGGTGTACCGTCTGCAACCCACCACTGCTTTAGCACAAGAAGATTATTCCACATCAAAATTTGGCAGCAAAATGTTTGAAATATAGTGATGATTTTTTGTTTGTAATGCCAATTCTGTCACAATCCCTGACAAAAGGTCGTACATTTCCCAAAATTGAGATTGCAGACTGTTTCTTGGGTTTGAAAAGAGCTGGAAATTAAGTGGCTTTCTTTCTTGAAGATCTTCTACTCCCGTTCTCATTCTTAAAATCTGCTACTCTGCCTACAAAATAACTTGCCTTCTGTAACTTTACTGAAGATCAGATGGCTGGATTGCAGTCCCTGATCTCTCAAATATTGACTGTACCTGCCATAAATACAAAGATTTGTGGAAAAACTTTGTAATTAGCCTTAAAAAAGCATGACCATAAAGCAAAAAGTACAAAATAAAAGTAGACTGCCAGTTATCAAGATATAGTTACATAAAACCATTAGAAATATTTGGGAACAACTAACATAGTGCCTGGATTTTCCTCTTGCACTTTACTAAATCTCAATATGTATTGTAATTTCTTTTTATTGATTACATCATTAATTTATTTAAGTGTATGCTGTCTCATGAATGATCCTAGCCAACTTAAACTCATGAAAATAATAAGTCATAGAATTAAAATCAGCTTTAAAAAAACCATAACTACCCTCTCTTTTATTGAAATGGAACCCTCTTCCGAAAAGCACCACCTTAATAGATTTCTTGAATACAACAGAGAGAAAGGCAGTGTGTGACCATGAGGGCACAATCTGTTTCTAGTCTCCTAGCCCCTTGATATGATTTATGTCATCCCTATTCTCAGTCAAACATTTTGGTCAATTTTAGGATGAGAAAGTGGCTTTACTTCAATTCCATAACTGGAAAAAGTTGAAAACAGCATTTCACTAAAATTATCTGACCATAGAACAGGGCTTAGCAACCTACAGTCCATGGGCTGAATGTGACCCATTACTCAAAGTCATCCAACACACAATCCCAATAAAAAATATGAACCATGAAGGAGGAGGAGAGAGCAACTACCTGTTCAGTTGCTCATGTGAGCACTCTCCACCTCCTTGGGTATGAAGTCATTTTGGTGATGATTTCACTAGTCACCCTTAGTTCAGATGGAGCCACAGCTCCTCTGCCTGGTACCAGTGAGAGTGAATTGTGAAGCAGAGAAGGAAGAGGAAATGGCGAAGATGGCACGGCCTCTGATCCTAACCAAGAGAATATTGCCAATTCCTTCCTATACCCTCTCAATGTAATGAATTCATGGGAAGAATATTCATATATCTATTAGATGTGAATCAGATTTGTTTTGCATGTGTGAAATAACCTAATGCTTAAGTGGTGATGGGATTTAGCATATCCAAAGAATCGGGGAAGGGGTTTTGTCCAATCAATAAAATGATTGTTTATTGAGCTTGTGAGAAAGCTAGTTTCATAAATTTCACTATTGTTGTTGATAAGTCACTTATTGCTATTTGTACAAACTTCATTTCTCACCTGTATACACACTTCCTGAATCTCTTCTATTCCTTTCTCTCTCAATCTCATTGCAAATATGCCCCAGCTGCAGTAAATTAATCCCAGTGTTTTGTTATGCAGTGGATTGTTCACATTTTTTCACAAATCAGAATGTTGATTTTTCAGTGTCTTTTGCAATGCAAGATAAGTCATGGACTTTTGCTTTAGAAAATGAGGAACATCTGATGAAGAAGGGAAAATCTGACAGAGCAATGATTAATGGAAAATACAGAAAAGTGTAAAAACTTGGTACAAAGTTAATTTCAGAGAACATTAGAAGGTAGTGTTCTGTTTAACCACAGGGAAGTAGGACTTATTACAACTATGATATTGCAACATGTTTGATATTAAATATAAAACAGCATTCTTCAACTTGTCAGATGTATCACATTGTAACTTCCATAACATCTAACAGCAGGACTATAATGGAGTTGAGATCCCAATGTAACTGAAGGCTGCAAAAAAATCTGGGCATATAGCATTCGGAAAAATATGTAATGCACATAATCTAAATACACATCACCCACTCAGCCCTAGGGGTCTGTAGTAAGAAATCCAATAATTAGCCCTTGTTGAGATCCACAAATTATAAAAACCAGATTGTTAGTTTGTTAGAGGTTTGGTTAATGAGAACGGGATAAACTTTCTATCAAATAAAATATTGTAAAATATTACAAATTCATAGTTGGGGAATTGTGGCAAGTTAATACATTTAAAAGAATACATTGAAAGAAAGTGCTTTAAAGAACATAGGCTTTTATTAATTTTCTCATTGTTTCTACCACACATCTCCTCCCACTTATGACTGTAACTTTGTTGCTTGTATCATTATGATTTATATTGATTGTTTCCTAGTATGATTTGATTGCTCATTTGTACCCTATGGCTATTATTAAGTGTTGTACCTTATGGTTTGTGACGAATGTATCTTTTATTTTATGTACACTGAGAACAAATGCACCAAAGACAAATTCCTTATGTGTCCAATCACACTTGGCCAATGAAGAATTCTATTATATTCTATTTTGAAAGGAATGCAATCAAGCAGATTGAATTCCCATTAGAAAAAACAAACTTTAAAGCTGTCAGCCATAGTAGGTAAACCAATCAGGAAATCCATCCAGAACAGTTAATTTTACTTTATTGTAAGGCAACATTTACAAAACCAGGTAATTCTGAAAGTGCAATGCCATCTCCTTTACACCCCAAGAAATTATGAAGGGCCTCTTCTGAGCTTCTTGCCCACCTACTATCCAGCTGTGGACTATGTTGTCTCTTGTTTGACCATTCCCTAGACAGTTTCTCTGGGCACATTCTCCCAATGTCATTCCCAAAGGCCTTATATCAGCTGTAGAAAAATATCTATTTTATCAAAACCAAGAGCTGTAATAGGAACTCTTCCTTAATCATTAATTCAGAATCAATAAATACTGTATATTTCACAGGCCAGAACTAGCAAATCTACTCACCTGTCAAGAGTTGGAGTAATGTGGTAATTCTTCGTTACTGACAAGATAGCTTTGATTAGATTATCTGTAGAAAAACAAAGAATGCTTTAAAATGAACCTATTTCAAGAATTTTGCAAAATTCATAAGTGGGGTGGACAAAAACTTTAAGATCAAAGTGAACGCTGAATAAATCTGCACCTTAGGTTTAATTTATAACCCATCAACAAGAAATCAGAACGGGAACAGCCAATATAAAATACAGGTAGTCCTCAACGTACAACTACAATTGAGCCCAAAATTTCTGTTGCTAAATGAGTCATTTGTTAAATGAGGTTTGCCCTAATTCAAGACTTTTCTTGCTACAGTTGTTAAATGAAGCACTATAATTGTTAAATTAGTAATATAGTTGTTAACTGAATTTGGATGCCCTACTGACTTTGCTTGTTAGAAGGAAACAAAAGGTGATCAAATGACCCCAGGACCCTGCAACTGTCATAAAATGAGCCAATTGCCAAGCATCCGAATTTTGATCACATGACCATGGGGATGCTACTATGGTTGTAAGTGTGGAAAATGATCATGTCACTTTTTCCGGTGTTGTTGTAACTTTTACATGGTCACTAAACAAACTCTTGTAACTACCTCTATTTTGTGAAGTGTTACTTCACATTTTTTCTCAGACATGCACCGGCTGGAATTAATTGAATAATAAACTATACTTCTCTGTGTACTGAGAGCTGAAACACAATACAAAAGGAGATATTTAATCTGCATGTCTATTTAGCTAGGAGAGCAATACAAATGAAATTATTTGGATTATAATCATGGGCAGCCATTATTATAATAATAAAAAAACTGCAAACACACCATATTCAATGTCACCATAGTATGCATTTCTACTAATCCCACAGGTATATTTAACCTCTAGTGTGTTGGTGTGGCTTATCTCTACCAAGCAAAAGAGCAAGCAACAAAATATATCTGGAGATGTGTTGATACCACAGATAGATATTTCTGGACAAAAGCTTTTTTAAAAAAAAAAGTGTTTTTAAAAGAACTACACAATTTTAGATAATCCATATCATCTCTATAAATGATAAGCATGAGCTACCCAAGCTGCATGACAAGGAAGAGCAGATGCTATCACAATACCAACACAGAAGGTAAACCAGGTTATTACTAGTATCTGAGCAGAAATTACCACAAATATTCCCCCTCTATCTTGTCAGTAAAAAATACAGAAATAACACATTGAGTAGCAAGAAATTCTTCCTTTTTTAACCCAAATTCAGTGGTAAAGCCAGTTCAGTTAAGAACAAATATATTAACTTCTTGTGATATTATGTTTTATTTTATGTCTCAAAATATTTTCAATATAAAATTAAGTCTCCTTAACAGAATAATATTTTAAAGTCATATTTGGAGAACATGGTCTACAACAGTAAGTTAGACTCATTGTTCATACAATATCATCTTAAATATTTAGTATTTACTGTAGAGGCATATTGAATAGTTCAATGTAAAATTCAAGAATAGAGACATATTTAAATGCCTACATGAGGTTCTGCATGATGCTCATTTGCAAATAACATATTTTGTATGTCTAATGTCTCAATCCTTAGGCCCTTAAGAACCAGAACTTGAAAAGTACCTATGCCTGAGACTAGGGAATTATTGCTGGTCTATTATAAATCAAAAGCACATTTTGTAGGTAAATATTCATACTTACTTCCTTTGCTCTCATTACAAATACCATGCTCATTTTCACTTATTAATAGCTGTAATTAAGGAACAAAATTGAAGGCATCAAGTTTCTTAGCAAGTAAAAGAATGCACTGTTTTTTCTAAGTAATTGCCTAGCAGGAGGATGATAGGTAAAGGGAAATATCATTTTCTCTTAAATGCTAAAGCTTCAAAAATTCAAGAGTAGGAATATATTTAGAAAGCTCTATACAAATACAATGGGACCTAGCTACTGTATGTGCAAATGTGTGCATATGTGTGAAACAGACAGTCAAGGAAAAAAAGAGAAACAGAGAAAAGACAAGAAACAAGTACAAGTTCTACTCTTCTCCATATTTAGTTTTGCTTCACTTTAACAATGATGACAAATATATCCAATCCTCGCATCCCAAATGATTCCCTCAAAGCAAATTGTCATCATTATAAACATTGCTCCTAATTTGTGACCCAGAGATTTTCAATAGCTATATCATCTACTCAAACTTTCTCAAATTTAGTAACTCCAGCTTTTATAATGTATGAATTAGGGTTGATGAGGACATCTTGGCAACAAAAATGTTATAAATAGTTGTGGTATATTTAAGAATACTCACAGTGGTATTCAGGAAGTAAGTAAATAATGCAAAGACAATAATGGAGCATATTTATGTCTCAGATGACCCAACTCACACAGATGCTATTTGGTTTGAATCATTCCTAAGTATGTGATGAATGATAACTCATGGGATCTTAGTTCAGCCTTCAACCTGTAAAGGCCCATATGAAATTCTGAAGCATATGAAGCTACAGACACTAGGAAGATCCTGGTAAAGCTGTTTGATCATCTTGCTGCAGTAATTTAAGCCAATCATTCCTGAGACAGTACAAAGATTCTTTCAGAGACCCAATTTACTTTCTCTAATATAATGCTGTTGCTCTGCTTTTGTATGAAGATTGGATAAACACCTACTAGGCTTAATGATTCAGCTCTCACTTCTAGGGATCAACAATATGGTGTTCCAAGCCTGGTCTGCAAGCAGAATGAGTCAGCTGCCCTTAAGTTTACAGAGAGTGTCTTTTATATAAAACATTCTACAACAAAATACAATAAAAATAGCAAATTTCAGCCTTGTAACATCCAATAGGCTCCATTTGAAGAATTAGCTTAACTTAGTATGGTAAATAAACATCTGCTATGAATTGATTCAAAGAGAGCAAATATATTCCTTACGTGGAGGGCTTCAGGAATAAGCCTTATGAGATGGTAGGAAAATTAATCACATTTGGAGCAGGAAAAATCAAGGAAAACTATTCGTCCTAGACTTCACCACAATATTATTTTTTAGAATTTTATGTGCTTCTACCAGATTTGAAATGCTTATTTATTACATTTATATACTGATGTATCTTTCCCATTAATTTACAAGACCACAACAAACAATAAAAAGACCATTGGCTTACCTGAAGGGCCCTTCTCTGTGCACCGCGGGAGAGTCCAAGCAGTGGGTTATTTCAGTCTGCTTGCCCCGGACTGAGAAGTCTTTTCCCTGGCCATGCCTCCTTGCATGGCTACGTTCTCCAGAAAAAATAGAATAGTCTAGACCGTGAGGATGGAACAAAAAGAGTCCAATTCCAATTCAGGAGATGATGTCCACACGTATCCCGGGACAAAAACTAGGTGGGTTGGACTCTCCCATGGTGCACAGAGAAGGACCCTTCAGGTAAGCCAATGGTCTTTCTTCTGTGCACTGCTTGGAGAGTCCAAGCAGTGGGACATACCCAAGTTACTGTCCATCTGGGCAGGCAGAAATAATGTCCCGGGAGTCGGCTGTAGGAACAACCGTTTGGAGCACCCTCCTGCTGAAGGCCACCTCAGCTGAGGCAAACACGTCTAGTTTGTAATGTCTGACAAATGGAGAAGGCGAAGACCAATGTTCCCTCTAATTTTTTTTCAGTGTGAGCGGAAAAGTATAGTGTTTGAGCGGCACATTTTCATGCCTGAG